ATTTTACACTCAGGACAGCAGAATATTTTCCTTTTTAGCACCTTTCTAATTTGTTAAAGCTAATGCATTGGTCACATCACATTCAGGCACAGGAGAAAAGCACTTCAGGTCTTGAATTATTTAAATGAAATAGTAACTTTTGTCACTTGTGCTCTCTCTTGTGCATTGATTAATCTAATTAGTTCAGCAATAAGAATCACTTTCTCCTCGTGCTGTGATCTGATATGTTGTGACCAATACAACCTGATTCTAGATGTGACCTCAAATAGGACTGGCCAGTACAGTAACTTGGGATCTTGCTGGCCATGCAACAATCCTGCTTGACCTTGCAGGATCCTACTCTGCTGCTCATGCTTCAGTTCTCACCTCTCTCTGTGCCCAGAGCCTCATTTATGGGGAGGCTGATGCTGCTACAAGGTACTGTAAAATAATATGGGCAATGTGTGTCAATAAGCAAAGTATCAATAAGCCGTTGTGCTGGGGAGGGGAAAACAGGGAAAGGGTGTCCACAGAGATCTGGGACAATGAGTAGAGCTAAAAGCAACACAGAGCTTTGGGTGGTGCTGTCTGTTAGGCTGCCACAGTTCCTGAGTGCTGAGTAAAAATATGTCAGACACGATACTCACTTAGGTATCCTTAATCTGGCCACAGTCACTTGTTATTTGAGACCACAAATAGTAATAAGAAACTGCCATCAATCGACAGAGCATCAATCTCACGCACTTGTATAAAAATATTTGGGCTGCTTAGCATTCTTCAGATGATTTGAGGCAACTCTTTGTAGGTGTCTGTTAAACACCAGCACTTGCTCCAGCTTTCACTTTGCCTTTCATTTTCCCCTCGCCCTATGGGCAGCCAGATGGTTGAATGTAAGCCAAAACTAAGAAGGATTTCCTCTTTTCTTCTGAAGAGATGGATGCTTGGAGATTTATCAGTGGTACAGTTGTATTTAATCAGATAGAATCTGTCCTGTGTAACTAAGAGGGTCCACAGCATGTTGCTGGCATAAGCAGCTACTTTAGCAAAGTCCCATTTGAATTGCCACTTTGCATTCCACATAAAACAATCCTTTATGGCTTTTTGCCTTAAAATTATTAGTCACTTTTCCTGAAATGTCAATAATGCACTGATGCACCAGCAGAGCTCTTCTGTACTGTCATTTCCTATTAACTGTTAAGAAATTATGACCACTGCACAATTTGGAACAAGACTCTCATCCTACGCCATACATGAAATTTGAATATTAAAAGTGAAAACTGGGTTCATCATAGACCTAATTAGTTCTTTGGAGAATCTGCTTTGTGCAGCAGACTGTACTATCCATATTGATGTTAGCATATTATATAACCAGCTTTAGAAAATGCAGCAGTCTGAAGGCCAGGCCCTATGTCCCTGTGCTCAGCCACTACCCTGAGAGTACTGAAAATCAGCAGAATTCTACTAGAAAATAGGCATTTCTGCTCTGGGCTTTTTTGTGGGAGGTTGTAGAGCGATTGATTATCTTCAAATCAACATTGTTTGCAAACTGTGCTCTCCAAACACGGTTTTATTGATGTATATATAGTAGAGATGTCACAAAAGGAGTTAATGTTCCCTTTTGCTGTCCAAATTGGGTGGTGAAGTCACGGAACATGCTATTTTGATAATTTGGAACATGCCCCAGGAGTTGATTAAATACTCTGTATGTAAATTGTGCATCTTCATGCATACAGCAGAAGGGTCAGAGCTGCAAACACAAGCCTGCAGGATCTGCTCTCTCCCTGCACAGATTTTTACTACCTGTTTAAACACTAAACCTATTTTAATAGACAATTACAACTTGCCACAGAAATACTCCCCTATAAAACCGAACAGTGGATGAAGTGAAATTGCCACCGTGACCCTGTAGTGGTATTTTGTATCATTTAGTAATGGCGTTTTTAGAAATCTAAGACCAGAATTTGAGGCTTTTGCATTTTCCTTTCAATGAGTCATAACCCCTCTGCAAGTTCTGGTGCTTGAACATCGCATTAAGGTACAAGGAAGAAATTCTTCCCTGTGAGAATGATGAGGCTCTGGCACAGGTTGCCCACAGAAGCTGTGGCTGCCCCATCCCTGGAAGTGTTCCAGGCCATGTTGGATGCAGCTTGGAGGAATCTGGTCCAGTGAAAGGTGTCCCTGCCCATGGCAGGGGGTTGGAACTGGGATGATCTTTAAGGTCCTTCAACCCAAACCACTCTGTGACTCTCTGATCCTGAACAGCATCTCCACCTCAATTTTTTCAACAAGAAATTTGCAGTCTTCCCTCAAAAGTGGAAACAGGAAGAAGAAATAAACTGTTCTGATTGTTGTTCCTCAGATCTTTGGGAGGCAGGACCATAATGGAGATTCACCATCTCCTGGCCCAGGTGAGCGATGTGGGAGGTAAAGTTTGTCACCTCTTTCCCCATGGCAGCAGGTTCGCTGCTTTAGTCATATGGTACTATGGTTAAAAGGTTGTTCTGATGTATTTAGATCAACAAACAACACAGTAAAGATAATCTTGTCTAAAGGAAACACAATAAAATATCCTCTAAGATTAATACATGAGATGAGAAATGCAATTCAAGCACACATCCTTCAATCTCTATGGGCAACAGACCCACAGTTAAGTCCTGTATGTTATGTAACAACTAGAGGTGGGAGCATGCCCTGTTTGATCAATTTGTTCCTATTCCTGACTATGGAATAGTCAGGAACAGGAACTGAAATAGTGACAGATGAAGGCAAAATTCCCTGATCAGAAAAGAACTGGAGATCTGCATGTGTTCACAGGTGGTAGAATACAGGTCTTTCTTGTCACTGCAGCCATTGGCTTTGACCAAAACAAAGATGAACAGCACACTGTAGATTTGACACTTTTATTAACAAAGAACCCATGGGGCTCATTCATTAGTACAAAATACAATCATGTTCCTGTATGTTAAACAGCTTTTTTTTTTTTTTTGTCTCTTTTAAACTGTTTCACAGTTATCAAAACAAAGCCCCTGCATATTGAACTTATTATTGTGCAAACAGTAATTATTTTTAAGGATCAATTTCTGCACTAAGCCAAGTGCCAGAGAGCAGAACTTGTTTTCACCCCTCCTTTGAAGGGCCATATGTGCTTCCTAAGAAACACATAATAGTTGACTTTTTTTTTTTTTTTTGCAGCAAACAATCTAAGGCCACAGTTTATCTGCAAAGAATAAAAAATAACTCAAAGGTTTCAGAGAAAAAAAAAAAAAGCACATCTTTACCCTTCATACTCTTGTTTGCTTGACCAAGCAGCACACATCACCTATCAGGTATTACAGTCCAAAAAAGCACCTAATGTTCTTGAAGCTAATATTTTGAATTATTAACATGCAAGTTAATACACAGCCACATTACTTTTCAAGTAACTATAATGGTATCTGTTTAAGGAAAAGATGCTTGTTCCCTTTGCAGGTGATGTGAATGGAAATCCTGCACTGATTGTATAGCCAGGCCCTCACTGAGATAAAAAGGCTTGAGAGCCTTCTATACTCATTTTGAGAATGTTCTTTCTAGAACATGCACTCAGATTTTGGTTAAAGCTGCATTTGCTATAGAAGACAATACTTGATGTTGCAAATGAATGAAGTAACTGCAGTTTGGAAACATAACTCTCCATCAGTCTGTGTCTCACACTGATGCAAATGCAATTTGAGGTGAAGTGCTAGAAATCAGACAATGTAAGGAAGTCGTACTAAAAGAAGACTAAAAATATATATCCGTGTATGCTTGTAGAAAATTCCCTGCTTCTTAAATGAAGACAGATGTCGTAAAAAAAATCTAAACCTTTCTTAAACTGCAGTTATTGATGAAATGAAGGAAACTCTATTACTATGTTTGTAGTTACCAGAAAGTACAATGTTTTACCACATGAAGCACCGGGTTCTAAGCCCAAACCCTGCTGTAAGACATATGGAGAAATTCTAGTGTTCAAAATCCCCTGTATGTTACAGCCAGGACTGTAAACGTGCGTGTTGACAATGCTGTGTTTCTGCTCCTGTAAGTGACCTGGTGGCGGTGGTTTACATATCTCAACTGATGCTTGGCAGGAAGCAAACATTCTACTTTAAATGAAGGCAGCAGAAGGGCCAAGTCAATGCTGTGCCTTCACTCTTAGCAGCAACAAACTCTCACTGTTCTAAATGACCTGAGGAAGAAAACATTAAATATTGCACCAAACCAAAATTAAACAGCAAAAACAAACAAGGAAACACACCAACACATATAGTATGGATAGCAAATGACCAGTGCAGCCCCTGACAATAGATCTTTAGACAAAAATGCAGGAGTAATGAAAAGCTTTGTGCCATTACCAGAGGACTTTGCTCCCCTGATGTCTGCTTTCACTTCTGTTATAAGCTATATCTATTCTGGGTATATTTACACCTCTCCCTACACCTCTTATCTCATTCACTAACCACAGAAACCATTTAGGGTCCCTTTTAGAACCTTGAAGTATACTGGAGCTTTAACAAGACTTTTTTGGTCTCAAATCTGACCATAAGTAAATATCCAAAACAGAGGTAGGCTTATAAAGGCTTCAGAATAAATAAGTGTTGTCCATTTTGCTAAGTATACCTGCTGCTGGCAGAAGGATTCTCCCTTGCCATGCTTCCCCTTATCATGCTATCCATAGGCTTAAGATGCAGAAGAAGAACTCACAGTAGAAGAGGCTAGAATAATTCCCTTAAGAAATCCCTTGAAAGAAAGCATAGTGCATAAGCTTGTATCAAAGTTCACTTCTGTTGTACATACTTGTGTCTCTCATTCAGTAAATGGTGCCTTCATAGTATTGCGTAAGAGCTATTCTGTCATCCATGATGCCTTCGGGACCATTATGAATGATGAAATAGTACCACTTGGCAGTCGTGAGAAGGGCAGGTTCTCATGAAATATGAAGTAAAGCTGGAGTGGAGACTCCATGTTTCAGTAGTGTTCCTTTCTTGGATGCAGACAGTGCAAAGCTGAAGCCCCTTGAACACTGGAATCTCTTGGAAATGTTTTCTTACCCCACATTCTGTTCTACTACGCAAGTTCTACTACAGAAGTTCTCAACATCCTTACGTACATTCTTCCAGAGTGCTCCAAACAAAATAAAAATTCTTTTCTCTTCAGAAGATCCTTACACCTCCTCGTACTTTCTGTAGTGTATCCACTTTTGGGAAAACATTCAGTATTTTCATTTCATCCATTTTCGTTTCAGTATTTTCAGAACTTCTCAAGTATACCAAGCTCAGCTGCTCCCATGTTATCCTCTGTGCAGACTAATCCAGCAGATTCTCTTTCATCACCAAACATGCTCATACCTCCCTCTCCATTCTCCTGTGCCTTTCTTGGACACAAACTGAAATCTTGAAAAAGAAAACCTTTTCCTCTTTAGCTGCACTACCAGCTTAAGCAGCAGAAAGATTAAGACATTCATCACAATGATGCTCATGACAAATCCTCTTCAGAGCATGAACGAAACAGGCTGAATTTCTTCTACATCAGTTGGATGTGGATCAATCTAGGAGGAGAAGACAGACAACAATTACTGCCTGCAATTCCTGCATTTCGGTGTTTTGGATTTGGTTTTTCGCCATCTGACAATAAAAACACCACCTGCTATTTATTTTTTTACCTCTGAATAAAGAGGTGGAGGCTGAAACCGGAACTCTTGTATATAAGCAAAAACAGGACAACACAACTGTTCCTCACAGTCAATGGGTGGTGGATAAGCAGGAACATGTCTGGAAAACTCTTCCTCAGACACTACATCAGCATAATTTGGTGGTGCTGAAACACAAGAGATGCTGTTGTCAAATTTCAAACTAGTCATTCACAGCAAGACAATATCTGTATTAAAATATATCCAAAATCATGAGAACTGTATTTATTAAACACTGTACAACTGTCAGATTGTAGGAAGTGCACTATACTCATAAATATTCTGACTAGAATTAGGTTTTCAGTAAGCTTAGGTGATTCAGC